CAAATTTGGATAATCATTTTCAAAAGCTGATTGAAGAACTTGAAAATAAAATTTGAAATCATTTCTTTTTTTCATTAGAAGTAAAACAGATTTGAATTACTTTTCTTATGTTGATCAATCGTTGATAATTTTGTTTTTAGATATTGACTGGCTAATAAATGACGACAATGAATTTTTTTCATTGCAAATGTATCAGCTGTCGTATAGAATTGTTCATGTGTTCTGGGTAAAATGATATCATACATTCCTGAACGTATTTGTCGTATTGCATCAGTTTCACAATATCCTCCGGCTATAAAATATATTTAAAATAAATTATAAAAATTTTATATTTAATTCATTTTCTTACGAGGAACAGGTGCAAGTAAACAAATCATTTTCACATATGAAGGATATTTTGCAGCAAACATTGCAACAATTGAACCACCCATTGAAGTTCCAATTAAACACATTGGTCGAGTCAAACCCAACACATCAAAGAACTAATCATATAAAAATATTTTTAATGAAAAATTTCAAGAAAAATTACCAATTTAAGTTTATCAATAACACGATCAGCTTTCAAATCTTCTAAAGAAAATCCAACTGTTTCTCCATGACCAGGCATATCAATTGCAATACAATGAAAATTATGAGGAATATTCTATTATTACAGTTTTTATAAAAATTTACTGAAATAAAAATTGGAGATAGATTTACTTTGATTGTATTTAACCAAGTATTTTTATCAGATGAAAATCCGTGAATAAATATTAAACTTGTTCGATTTACAGTTTGTGTTTCCTTTTCATAATAACAAAATGTTTCTGATTTACCATCATTCACATTTTCAATTGTTAAATAATGTTTTTTAACACCAGCTCGATGTGTATTTATCCTATACATAAAAAAACAATTATTTTTCTTAAAACAGTAAATAATATTTACTTATTATATCGTTTCAGAAATCTCTTTGACCTTCAGAAGTAAAAAATAAAGATTTATTTATAGAAATTTTCTTTCACACAACTTACATTTTGGAATATTTCGAGTTAATATCTCTGTATTATGTCAGCGTATGTGTTTTCCTTTATACTAAGTGCAAAAACCGTTATTCGTATGTACGATGCTTGTAAAAGAGTAACACAAACTTCAAGATAAAATATTCGTACAGTTCGTGTAAGAACTAGGCAGTAAAGTATACAAAGCAAAGGTAAAATACATTCGTTGCATAAAGATATTTTTATATATATATAAACAAATTAATGACTCAGTTTTACGCATAATCTATTGTGAAAAAATGATTAGAGGGCGGTTTGAAGGTAGATTGACGTACTTGAGGTATTTGTTACGAGATAAAAAAATATCACGTAAATCTTTAATCAAATCAGATAAGTTACACAAAAATGTCAGCGAATATCATTTTTAGCGTACTCAGAAAGTGATTATACTAGTACGATCGATCAGTACACTCGGCCATCTATTTTTACACGATGATTTTTCAAAGAAAATATTTTGTTTAGAATTATTTTCGCAATCTATTCAAATTAACTTTGTTTTTAATGCTAATTCCGAATCTCTAATATTTTTTGTGAATCGAATCGTTGTTTTCTAATACAATATATCCGAAAAAGTCACAAAATATTGAAAACAGAAAGCAAGTTTTGTAGATGTGTCTCACAGTTTTTCAAAACGTGCCAGAATAGTTCATCAAAGGAATGATCAAATGATAAAAACACGATTCTCAAAATTATCGATATCGTTGATTTATTCTGTAGATACTGACATGTGGATTTTGACCACATACTTACAAATTTATAATTACAAGTTGACTAAAAAACACAAAGATAAACCAAATAAAAGTCATCCGAAATCGTGCACATCGAGAACACTTCTACAAAAATTTTGAGTCAGAATGTTAAGTGAAAACTGAGAATATATTCATTATTAATCAGGAAAACTTTTGTTTGTCTGTCATCTTAAATTACAAATTACATATTTCCACAAGATTTTCTTTTTTCTTTTCATAGAAATTAAAGATTTTCTCATTGAGATGAAGTTTCTATTGTGAAAATAATCGACATGTTACAAGGAAAATTGACTAAAATCTTATTTGGTTTTCAGTTATTGATATTAGTCTGGCCAATATCAATGATAATCTTAAGTATTCGATATCGAAATCAATGTGTAATAAAACCTCAATTATCTTATTATCTTTTGCTTTATGGTTTCCTTTGGATATGTGTTTTTCTTTTAAATATAATGCATTATTATTATTTTCATCAATATCTTAATCGAATCATAAAAATCTTTTGGTTAATTCTACTTTTATCAATCATTCCTGGTTATATTTTCATATTTAAAATTCGTAATATAACTAAATCCTATAATCTCTATCCAAATGAAATCTGTGACCAAAATTTCTATTTTTATTCATCAATATTAATTCTTCTTGTTCATATTCCACTTTATATCTATATATGGTTATCAATGATATTCATTAATTCATTCCACATTCAACGAAGATCAATTAGAATATTCACAATAACATCGATCAGATGTTAAGAATTATCAACGATAGTATTCAGTTAACACTCTCAAGACAACAATTTATGTCGGAAGAATTTTCATTAGGAGATAAATGGTGAAAATAGCAATCGATCAAGCAGCGAATGGGATGCAGGAGGCATTTAGTTAATTTGGAAGAAAAAATTCGACATAAAGACAAAAGAAGCTTCTGAAACTTTTTAAAGATAATGAGAATCATAGGATTGTTCCTTACGCAAATGACGAAAGAGATAAGGTATTGTTAGAGATGGCACCAAGATTTTCATTTCGAGGGAGCTCAGACGATTTCTGAGGGAACTGTGCCTCTGCCAGCCCCCCTTGGCACTGCCACTAGTACGAATAATTCATTGGAAATGATTGTCTCTGGTAAGAAACCGACGGTCATGCCATCAATAAAAAAACATTCCTCTGATGCAATCTCTTGTTATATAATTCGATTCAAAGTGCCAATCGTAACACCCATCATAGACATCTTCATTCTTTATCTTTCATTACCCATTAGTATTGTCTTTTCGCTTGGTACCTGTCCAATTGGCTATAATAAATTTGCTTAGACTTTGGTACGATGCGTTTTCAAAGATTTTGGCAAGAGTGGTCTGTACAATTATACTAAGATCCGAGCACTACATCGAATCATATTTCACATAAAATCACTGATATTCGATTGATTTTCACTGAAGAGTATATTTCCAGAGAGAGTTGTTGTTGCTTGGAGCAAATAGAAGACATGTTCATTCGATGACAATAAACATGCAAATCGATTTTCATCGGCTAAAAATGTGAATAAACAGCAAACACTGATATTTATCAATTTCAAACGAAGTTCTCTCACTTCGTCGAAAGCTGACGTAGTTACTTGTTCAATAGTCGTGAAAATGGAATCGATTCATCTTCCATGAATTCGACGACATTTGAGAGCTAACTCACAGAGTTGATCTTTTCTCATCTAATTACAAATTGTGAATATTCTCATTGTAATGATCTGTGTGACAATTAATATAAGTTCGCTGAGCCAATTCGACTGACAATGATCTAAATGCTGATCAAGTTGTAACACTAATTGATCGACAAAATGATCTTCCAAGAGCTGTCGATGGGCTTGCGGACACCAACTAATTATCGATGAATCGTGCTGCCAGATGGTATGTTGAATCGATATTGCCACACTTTCTTCACCAAAGGATATCATCATTGTAACCAATGACCTAATCGAAAGGAATCAACTTCAACGAACTGTGCTGGTTTGAGTTTTGGTGACCAACGAGATATTTGGGCAATGACATGATTCTGGAGGAATTCGGTACTCTTGAGAGTGAATTTTAAGTGTGTTTATAATTTGGATGGCCAAGTTGTGGTGTCAAGAAGTGTTTTTTATCGTCAAACTTCGTCGGTTGGATTGATGAGTTTCCAACTTTGAAACTATTCTCCGAACAGAAATCTTCCACGGATGTCGATGCAATTGGTGGACAAGAATAATGACTGTGACATAGACTTTGTGGGAGATACTAACCTGACTCTGCAATCATATGGAATAGCATCGAACGATCTTAGTTTGATGATACGAGGTGGAATAGACAATCAATCGTAAAAGTCAAACTTATGTTTTGGATTCGGACGATTGATAAATTGTCCGAAATAATCGCTAATTACTCCTTCTTTACTCGATGGCACGGATACTCATAGATTTTCACTTTTAGTTTATTCGCTTTTTGTTGTAGTTCGTAACGAAGACACTTTGGTTTCTCTTTCTTTCTCGTCTCACATGAACACGACCTACTGGGTATTGTTTTCACCAGCGTAGTATATGTTTTCTTCGCTTTGCACTTCGATCATTTTTTTTTTCGTGCTTGTCGATTTCTGCCTGTTTTCTAATTGCCTGTAAAGTCGTCTGCATTATCGATGATTGAGCCGCATAGTGCACACCGAATGCATCGGTGGAATTGATATCTGTTAAAAGATCAGAATACACATTTTTTCCAGGTTGTCAGAAATAGTTAGAGAGATCGAAGGTTCGGATGAGGTTATCACGATCAGGTAGGACCAACCCATGTTTTCGATTGCGGTCAGAATGCGCGGCAATGATCGCAGTACCACCTATCTCTATTTCAACTCTTTTGCACCTACTATTACAATGATAATTGGTGATGAAACCACCTAAGCTTTTGTGCGTTATGATTCATCTACTCTTATTTATCAAATCATCTCAGAAGCACACAATTTTTACAACGAAAACGTTTATAATAAACGAAATAATATCAGTCAAAGGGGCTGATCGTTAGAGAGATCCTGCTTTTACCGATAATCGTGCCCATTCACCGTCATTCTTCACTTTTTGACAATAATGGTCCGCTTCTCACTTGCCCATGACCCATTCGCGGCATCTACCAACCTATCAATGATCCAAAATACATGAAAAGCACTCACCTATGCATCATCGATGATACTCAGGCATCTATAATTCATTTCTAGCAGTCATCCATCGCTCATCATCTGAAAAAATGAGCTTAAATGGTTTTTTCATCCATTTTTATACTCGATTACTAGCAATAACGGTTATTATTCAAAAACATCCAATAGATTGGCTAGAAAAATGCGGTAACTGCGACGCAGTTCTAAAAAAAGAGGCGACATGGGAAGAGTTCCAAAGTTTGCATAAGATTGTGAATATGACTAGACTGAAGATAATCAACGATAGTATTGGTTGATCAGTATGGTTTTCGCTCACGGATCGATAAGAATCATTTCGATCAAAACAAACTACACTAGTGACTGACGTGTATTCTGTTTTAAGTACTTTCGATACATAAGGAACGCGCAACAATATATACGTATATACATATGCGCATCTGTATTCGACGTTCAGATTCACCGTCTTTTCGTCGTATCATCATTATCGATTACAATACCTCGTTTATCGTAAGGTCTAATAAAGTGATTCACGCGTAATTTTCCTCTTCTAGAATATCTACGAACGAATTATAAAGAAAGTTCAAAATTTCAACTGTGCATCTCGAGTCATCATCCTTGTGATGTTGGAGTTATTCATTTTGTGCGGCAGTGTAGTACGGTCCTTGACGCCGAAATACCATTCAGTACAAGTTTCGCACCAACGAGAACTCCATACAGATACTCGCAATCTTTTCGGCATTCTCGATAGAAGCACTCTCTCTATTAGTGCAACGATTTTGATGTCTGTGTCTTGAAAAAAAAAGCAAAAACGAATCATTTATTTGATCTATCTCAAATATGAAAGTAATTGTTGGAGAGATATCAATTAACTTCAAACATTTAAGAAATCGATTTCAAATTCACTCGAAGTTGAAAGTTTACAATCTAAGTTTTGGATATAAATAGAACAATTTGTTCAAGGTGTGGATCGTATGAATGTCACTTCTCCAGCTGATGATTCTTTATTCGTTGTTATTTCAGCCTGTATAGTCTTAGGAAATTATTGAACCAAAAAACCTTTCCATTTCCAATATTCATCACTCGGTCGTAGTTAGTCGAATGACTAAGAACGCTCGGTAAGTGAAAAGACGTACTGATGGGATGAATGATCCGAATTTGACTGAAATATTTTCTTCTTGTTTATTACTTTCAATAGATTTATTGAAAACTTTCACTGATATTTCATTTGTCTAGTCTNTCACAAACCCTACAAACTCTGGAAATAATTTGGTAGCTTGCACACATTTTCTTCGTGCTAGCTCCTTCGTGCTAGCTTCACACTGATCTATCTCCCTCCCCTCTCCTCCCTCTATTCCTAGAAAAGGATAAGTGTTATAGGAGTTGGTCACTTATATTGTAAGTCGAATTAGACAACTCATGTTAATTTTTAAAGAGTTTCACGAGAAAAGCTTTATTAACTAAACAAATTAAAAGAATGTTTTTCAATGAACAAGCTAATCGGTTGCTGATTGGTTTGGTACCACTAATATTTGGCTTCTTCTATAATAAATCCGAAATATAATATGAACAATAAACGAAATCACGACACTTAATATAATATCTAAACCTCCGTAGTACTGTAATATAGTTCTTAATAGGACGAGTATATTGAAATTCTGTGTAAATGAATAAGTACAATGTGTTGCACGACATTTTTCAAAATAATTTTGATATGATTCTTTAAAATGCCATTCGTCAACAAATAATCGATCGACCATTTGTTGAACAGTTTCATTTAACAGATATTTACGTTCTGACTGATCAACACTGGGCATTAACTCTGCTGAAATATCCGGCATAATCGAATTATAGCAACTCTTATTATAAAAACATTGTAACGACGATTGCAGCATAGTTTCCACTGGATAACAACCAATAAATAAGCCTTCGACAATTTTATGATCAATTACCATTGGTTCAGAACACTGTAATGAAGTTGCACATGTACATGATTGATTATTATATGATATTGGCTTTGTATACATTATTACTGAGTTATTTTTGAAATGATAACCGATATATTTCCAGTTTGTTTGAAGAGCTGATATGAATGTATTTCCATGAATAATTTCACGATTCATATCAAATATTTCTTTAAATTTTAGTGCCGTTGATCGTTTAAATGAATTAACAGTTTTGTTGACTTTATTTTGAAATAAGTCCATAGAATTCAATTCGTTGCTAATCCATGTTGTTGAATGAAATTTTTTTAGATTTAGATCAACCATCTTTGCAGTTAATTGGCATACGGATGCAAGGAAATGGAATTGTATTGGCAGCATTGCATAGAAACCATGGTCATTTGCCATTTTGTTACGGTATAATGAATCGATCCAATCTTCATCTACTAAATATGACGAACAAACTTCACTATATATGGGCATAAGATTAATAAATTCTTTGTATTTTATCGATACTTCATTGCATGCACAACTTAAACTGTGTCGATATCTCGAATGTAACTCTTTATATTGTGCTAAATTTGTTAGTTGAATTGTATTAGTAATAATTTTCTTGTTTAATGACGTATAAAAAACTAAAATAACTAAAATAGTAATGAAAGTGATCAAGTACACACGTGTACTGATGATTTGTTGTCGTATTATATGAAGATTATTTGATTGATTACGAAATAAATTTAGTTGTTGTAATTTCCTTAAACATATTCGTAAAGTGATGCGTATTTCATGAAATATGCCTAAACAACAGAATAAAAATAAGTCATTTTTTCATCGTCCTCGGACAAATATTCGTACTTCCTTGTCGTTGTCTCCGCTTTCTTCGAATAAAAGAAACAATGTTTGGAATTAAGAATCTTAAAATGATTGTTAATCCGCCATATACATTAATTAAGACGGTTAATACATGGATAAATTGTGGTCGCTGTTGGATTTTATATGAACAAAACGATGATTGGCAAGAATTATAATATTTATCATAAAAATGAAATTCATTCCAATTTTCAACAAATAGATCTCCAACCAGTATTGCAATATGATCTTTTGTCTGATATCGACTTGTTTCTGATTCATTCAGCGGCTGTATTTGTTCATAAAGTTTTGTTTCGTTTTTCAAATAATATCTGATTAGATCTATACAATCTTGATCATAGAAACATTCTGTTGTCGAATATAATAATGAATCAATTGTGTAGCAAGCCGCATACACACCTGGTACATCGTCACTTCTGTTATCACGACAAAAGCTAGCTGGGATAGCACAATCGGGCTCAATTGCACAGGAGCATTCATCGTCAACTTTGCTACTAAAATCAAATGAGAGTTCAATACTATCATTGAAAAAAGTTCGATTCATTTGAACTTCTGGTCGTAGTCCTGAATATATTTGATTATCGAAAATAATACTTTGTGTAATTTCCAACTGTTCTTTAAATGATGCTTTGACTATCATTTGAAATATTTCTATAAGTGATTTTATTTCATGATTAAATTGCTCTTCGGCAACAGTTAGAGTTGTTGTATGCTGTCGATCATAAAATTGTTTTAATTCATTGAGTAAAGTTATCCTTGCCATTTGGCAATACGTTGATAAAAGAGGGAACAAAGATTGTGCAATGCTGTAGAAGTCTGGATTAATACAAGGTTTTTTATCAATCCATATGTTCTCATTTGGTTCCCACAAAGGTGAAACAAGTACACTTGAGCATATTTGATGATAAGTTGGAGAAAAATGAATGAATTCCGAATATTTAACCGAAATATTACTGCATGGACATTGAAGATCATCAACTGATTCTTTTTGTAATTCTTCAAATTTTATTTGTGTTGGACTGTTTATAATTATCATTGTTGTTTGTTTTTCAGAATATATATTTATAGTAAAAGCGACTAAGCAGATTGTTAATAGCAAAAAATAAACTCTTGTTGATATGATTTCGGTCTTTTGCCTATGCTCGTCTGACGAATAACTGTTGAATATATTCAGTTTCATGATAAGATTTTTAATTGATTTTAAAAATATGCATAAACGAGTTTTAGTTGATACTATGAAAAAAAAACAAAGTGTATTTTATAATGTTGTTAATGTATGACTTACTCCGAGAAGTGTTTGTTGGTTGTTGTTGCTTTTTCTTTCGAAGAAATGTAACAATATTTATGATGATCAATGGGAGAAAAATTCTTAATCCACCAAATAAACTAATCGTTGTAGTAAAAATATAGAGAAAACTATTTCTTAACTTAGTTGTATATTCACAAAGCAATGGTTGACAATAATTAAAATAATTTTCATAGGAAGTATTGACGACCCATTCTTCAACAAATGATCTATCGGCCATAAATTCAATACTTTGGTTTTTTGTTAATGGATAGTGAGATAATACTGAGAAACGACTAATTGGAATTGATGAAGCATGAACATATAAAGAAATATTATTCAAGCATGTTTGGTCAAATAAACATTCAAGTGTTGAATACATTAACGATTCAATTAGTAAAACACCTGTAAACATTCCAGGTATTTCTAAAGTAGGAGTGATGTCCCCACTAATCAATTCTTGGTTTGTATTATTAAAGCAGGTAGAATAATAATCATACTTATCTGTATTCGAATAAATTCTTTCTGGCAATCGACGAAAGGTATTATTGTTAACATTTTCAAGGGTAAATATGCCTCCTGTTTTATCACGATAACAAATGTGCACGAGTGCTGCAGCGGATGAATCTTCATAAAGTTCCATAAAATAACGCGTGTCTATTGCAGCTTGTAATGAATCTGCTCTTAGTACTTGTCGGATTTGTCTCAATACATTTTGAAATGATGAAAATGTTGTTTTTTTCAAGTTTTCGGAAAACGAGTTCACTTGAATATGAAGCGTATTCATTGAAGTAGGTTGATGTACAACAAAACCATTTGAATAAAACTGTTCAAGATTGTTATCAACCGTTTGTTTGGCTTGTTGACATAGTGTTCGAAGAAGTTGAAATTTAAATGGTGCATTACGACGAAAATCAAGTGGATGATAATAACTAATATTTTCAAAGTAAAAATAATCGATCCATTCTTGGCTAATAAAATTAGATGAACAGATTTCATTATACTTCACTCTTATATTAATAAAATCTCCATATGGAATTAATAACTCTTTACATGGACATTTCAAACTAGTTGAATGTTTCAATTCTAATTGTTGAAATTGTTCTTTTGTTGGTTGTGAGATTGTAATAAGAGTTGATTGACTTGTTAAAGATAAATACAAAAGGAATAGAGACAAAATAATAGTAAGAGCAATGATGTACATTCGTGTCGATAGAATTTCATTTCTTTTCTCGTGTGCATCATCCGTTTCTGTATCGAAAAAATTAAGTTTAACAAAATATTCATAAATACTAGATATTAAAGTCATCCTAAAAAAGAAAAATGAATGTGAAATACATTCTCTTGACATGAGTCTCTCTCTATATATACATATATTATTTCAAGGACGTAATAAGTCTCTGTCGGTGTATTTGAGCCGTATGGTGAGATCTGGCATATGACGCAAGTCCTGATGAAAGTAAAAACACAGTGTGATTTATTGACGCAAAACTAAAAAAATCCTGTGCGTCAGCGAACTTTTCCAAGTACATATGTTCTCAGACATTAAGTTTTCCACAAAGTTCTTAGCGAGAACTTACAAATCAAGCTTTTAAAGAACGTAACCGAAGATCCAAGTCTTGTATAATTTGTGCAAGGCTTTAGTTGTTCAGTTATCTGCAGCAGTGTCAAACTTGAAGGTCAAATTCAAGTATTCATTCCTCTCTCTGACGAGCCAGCGATCAGTCGCATTCTCTTTCGTCTATATACGTTAATTTTGTCGACTTTCGGTTCAAACAAAGAACCCTTTCTCTCTCTCTCTCGACCTCTTGTGAATCCAATCAATCTCGACCAAGATCCACCAAGTCTTTTCTACGAATCCAAAACCGGTTCTTGGCCAAGTTTATGCCTCCAAAGGCAGGAGGCGGGCGCTCACGCGCAAGAAAACAGCACCAAAGCCTAGACAATGGTCAGCGTCACTCATCCGTCGCGCCCATTGTTTCCACTCCACAAATCAACCGACCAGTCAAAAGCACCATCCAACCAAAATTCACCATCGCTCCCCTCATCCTCGAAAGCACAAATTTAAACAAGCTGCAGCTTAACGACATAATCAAACAACACATGAGCGACATCAAGCTGAACGACATTCAACTCAGCCGCACAGGAACTTTCACGCTATATGCATACGACGTGAAATCCTTCAACCGGCTGTTGAACGACTTCCAAGCTATCCTCAACACGAATAATCAGCCTGCCGCTAAGCTGTTCGTGCCACGGTCGATTCAGCGGATCAAAGACACCGAAAAGGTGGCCTTCGTCAAGAGAGTCGATCTTGAAATCCCCGAAGATCGCATCATGACAGCACTCAAGGACTTAGGACTTGAAGCGACGAATGTTACGCGGTTAACAAACAAAGACGGCAACAATCCGACACGAACAGTAAAAGTGATGTTCGCCGATGCTGAAAACCGAAATACATTTGTCCACACAGGTCTACAAGTGGATTCGATGCATTTTCCAGCTGAGCCAGCCACACAAAACACCAAGCCAGTGCAATGCTTTATTTGTATGCAATACAACCATCTAGCTAAGTATTGCAAAACCAAAAAGCAGGTGTGTGCACGTTGCGGCGAAAATCATCGACTGGACCAATGCACAGCGCCTACAGACACGTCCAATTGTTGCAACTGCAACGGCAACCATCTCGCCTCGTCTGTAGACTGCCCAAAGTATAAGGAGCAGGAGAAAAAAGCGCAAAACTTGGTCAACCAATATACCACAACACGTCAACCCAAGGCATGGGCTCCGGCAATCCAGAGCGACACCGATTTTCCGCCTCTCCGACACTCCGATCACCCGCAGCAACAACATGTAACCAAAGACTTTCTCGACGAGATCATCACCATGCTTAGCAGCCATATGGAAAAGATCATCGAAGAGACAACCAACCGACTTTTCATCACTCTTCAACAAAAGGTCGAAAAACTGGAAAAGCTTATTACCTCCAGCGAATCGACCACATCCATCCCAACAACTACCACAGATCAACTGACGACGACAAACCCATCAACCAAGACTAAACAACAGACAGCGACGACAAACTCGACTTCATCAAACGACAAGACTACGACTGTTGTGCAAAGCAGCAATGTAGACGCCTCGAAAGAGAGTCAGACAGCTAAGGTAAGGCACAACAAACAAAAAGACCCCGCAACGACCAACAAACAGAATGAACCAGCGAAACGAAAACTCGCAGAAGCCAACAACTCTCTCGATGCTTCGACTGGCGAAAACAAAGACCTAAAGATCTCCAACGACGATGATTAGAGTGTGTCATATCAATGTCACCTCTATCACCAAACACCACGATGAACTCTTGGCCAGATTCTCCCAATACGACGTCATCTCCGTTAATGAAACTAACCTGAAGACTGAACGTCAGTTTGCTCTGAAAGGCTACAACATTTTCAGAAACGACCGAGTAGGGAAACCTGGTGGAGGAGTACTACTGGCAGTGAAGCAGCAAATCAAATGCCGGGAACTGATCTGCAAGACATCGCAAGAAAATGAACTGATTGCAGTCCAACTCGAAACAAAAACATACAAATCCATGCTGATAGCGTCGATATATGTCCCTCCTCGAGCAAGACTGAACATTGACGTTTTCCACGAGTTATACGGAATCAACAACGATTGTATTATTGTTGGAGATCTGAATGCAGCACTCCTCCAGATGGGATCTAGAAGAACAAACACAAAAGGCAAACAGCTCCAAGAAC